ACTCCCTCATCTGTTTCAGTGCAGTTCTTATTGTAAACTTTTAGAAAGTGCAGAAAAGTATTTATTGTTGTTGCTGTCTACTGTATAATTGGAATCGATCCATAGCTGACCCTCCTGTGGGCTTTCAGAGGCAGTTAATCACACGGGAGGAGAACCCTGACTCTCTGGGTTGGAATAGCTCTGTCATAATCACATGTAGGGGTTTTGCTATGCTTTTTGTATTTTATCAACAATACAAAGGCTATATCTGGTGACATTCATCCTCGCACATCCTGCTGTCCAGATTAATGCCCACGTTAGCATGGAGTCTACAACATTTAGGGTTGTTGCTTTTTAAGTGCAAGGTCATCTTATGAAAAACTGCATCAGCTACTTATGAGCATACACACTTCCATTTTTAAAAGGATAATTACCTTTTTACAACCCCAGATTGATCTTACCACTCTCTATATTCCAAATATTACCTAGTACAATTCCCTTGGAATTAACTTTGAGCTCGTGGAGTCAGAACTGACCAGTAGCAGACCCTCCAGCAGGATTTAGAAGTTGTATATTGCATGAGAGGAACATGCCCACCTTTCTCTCTAGGAGCTGCTGGTGCATTCAAACCAATAGAGAAGCACTATCTTTGGATTATTGGAGCAACACCCTGTGGACTAAGTCTTCAGCACTCTCTGGAAATAGCTCAGTACTACCAGTAGTAAGAAGCTGCGTTGCAATCCTGAAGACACTCGGTTCAAATCCACCACTCCTCCACGGGAGAAGGATGGACAGTCTCCTCCCTGTGTTTAACTGCCTCTGAAAACCCACCAGAAGGTCAGCTGTGTGTCGATTCCAACTTGATGGTAAACAACAACAACAACAACAACTGGGTTTTCTAGGAAATTGCTTGGATATGAATATAATACTAAGCAAGTATCTGTGATAATACAAGAAACATAAAGATACATCATTTAATGGAAGCAGCTGGCGCTCCTGAAGCCTGGAATGGTTCTGAGACACCATGAGGCATCCAGTACTTAGCTGGCGTTCATCTTCTTTCTGACAGGAGCTGGAACAAGAGGGAAACCAACTCCAGGACATTGAAAGCAGTTGGAGTAGTGGCACCACTTCGGGTCAGAGCTCCTCTAGAAAGCAGAAGGGTGTGTTGGCTCAACCTGGGTAGAAGACATCAAGCGATCTGAGTGCAGCAGGGCCCCATTCCTTGCATATCAGGGGAATCTGCCAGCTACCTGAAACTAGATGGATCTGAAAGAGGGACTGGATGCTCTCCTGCCTCATCTCTGTGTACCAGTTGCAGCAGCTGTGGCTCTTGGTGCTGTGAATCTCTGGATATCCTGAGGGATCAGTAAGGAGCCCTGTTGTTGGCTGCTAACCAAAAGGTTGACTGTTTAAACCCACCTTTGGTGCTAGAGAAGAGCACTGAAGATACCAGGAGAGCCAGCGGGTCTGTCCTGGAGAAGGTGAAGCCGGGTTGCTCCTTGGAGGCAAGATTTTGAAACTCTGTTTCACATCCTTTGGGCATGTTGCCAAGAGGGGCTTAGTCCTCAGAGAAGGAGGTCATGCTTGGAAGGCTGGAAGGACAGCACAGAAGAGGAAGTTCCTGGGCAAGATGGATTGACACAGTGAGACTGTGGCACTGGGGACAGGTGTGTCAGAGACAGTGATCTTGGCTCAGCCCAGGGCAGAGTTCAAAGCTGCTGTTCATAGGGTTGCTATGAGTTGTAATTGACTCGATGGCACGGAACAACAGCATCATCAACAACAACCATTCTTTGAGAGAGAGACCTGGGAATCTATTCCTGTAGGGAATATATATAGAAAACCCTAGGGGCTGTTCTACCGCATCACAAGAGGCCAGCAGAAATTGAAATTGACTCATGCAGCAAGACCTCGGGGTCTGTGGGCCGTTCCAGGTTGGGTGGCCCAGGCTGTTCTGTAGCCGTGACCAGGCTTTTGGATGGCCTCCACCTCTAACCTACTCCTTTAAACAGAGCACAATTGAAGTGGGAAAGGGCTGCCTACAGTTTTTGCTTTGGTTTGATGACAAACTCACCACAATTCTCTGGTGGCCTCCACACTGGTCCCTAAGGGAATTGAGTTTCTTTGCATATGTTCCTGTGCAGTGAGCGTGCTGGCCTCTCTAAGTGGTTTTTAGTGTGGCCTGGTAGACAATGGGGTAGGCATGTCGGAGACAGTGAGATTGACCCAGGATAGAGTAGATAGGCTTAGGATAGGTTCAGAGCTGTTGTGCATTGGGCCACTATGAGTCGCAGTTGTCTCGATGGCACGTAAAAACAACAACAACAATGGGTCAGGAGCCATGCTACAAAACCGAAGGTACACATGGTTCAAACCTGCTAGATGATCGATCCATGGGAGAAAGATGGGCAGTCACTGCCTGTGCAGTTTTTTACCTCTGAAAACACACAGGAGGGTCAGCTATCATTCGGCTCTGACTTGATAGCACACAATAACAACAGCAACAACACTCTATTTTTCATGTCAGCTTAACTATAAAGATGAAAATTGACTCAGTCTTTAGCAAATGCTAAGATACTGTCTTCAGAACATTGTTGGTGTTAACTAACTCATTAAAGCTTGGATTAATCCCACATGCTAGGTGGTATGGTCTACATTTCAAAGGGAACTGGCATCTTGTATGATTTCTTGGAGGACCACGTATGTAGTAAGGGACAGAGACAATGGGGTTTTTTTTGTATTATTATTTTTTTGTGTGCGTGTACCGTCAAATCAGATCTGACTGGTACAGGAGGAGATTGTCCCTCCTTCCCTGGCAGAGCATCTGGTGGGTTCGAAAGAGATAAGGTTTAAGATACCGTATTACTGTGTACAAAACCCATGTTCTTGACTATTCGGTCTTTTGCCTCCCAGTAGTATGAGCTGTGAAAATAAAATATTCCAAAAGAGTTCATGAAGAACTTGGCTTAGCCAGCTTATCTCAGAAACGTATGTCTAAATTTTCTCCTCATTCGTGTAGTTAAAACAAAACAGAGCAAGACACTTACGATCCAAGAGGCTGGCATCTGTGTGCCAAATTGAGGTTTCTTCTGAAGACATTACATATAAAACAAACATATGGTCCACTCCTGGGGCTTTCATCAGCAGAAGTTGACCACATAAGTGAACCATCTAAACCAATTACCAGAAAACACAGGTACAGAAGATGGAGACTTTTGTGATGAATGATGATTGAAACAAAAAAAATCATTACAATCATAGCCTTTGAGAGCTTTTGCAGAAAACATATTGAATAACGTTTATAGAAAGAGCAATTCTGATATCCAGATGTGGCGAGGGAGAGGGGAAAGGTTGCAAATAATGTGAAATTTATGGTGGGGCATGGGTAAAATGTAACATCTCTGACCTAATATATTTTAAAGTCTCTTTTGTCTTTGACCCAAAACTGAGAACATCTTCTAAACCTCTTGTCTTTTCCTCATTAGCTGTGGATTACAGCCACTAAACAAGGTGTGAAAGCAGGGACCTTCTTCTGGTCTGTGTAAGTCACTTTTTTCTTTATTTCATGAATGCTTGCAAATTTATAAAGTGCCTACTTAGTGTTGATTTTCATTTTAGTTAAATAGAAGAGCATTTTTAAAATCAGAATTTTAGAATATTTACTGATTCAAAATAAGCTTCCAGGCCCTCTTCTTCCTCCCAAGTCCTCACTTCTCCTCCTTCCCTGACCACCCTTCCTTTGCCTTTTCCATCCCCACTCTTTTTCCAATTCTTTCTTAGAAAAAGTGTAAGGAAGGAAAACACTGTCTTTTCCTTTAGATTTTATGGAATTTTGGTAACTTACCACCTAGAGAATGTATATTTATTTTAGACTCGGTTTATTGCTGTGGCTTGCATTGTTATTTTATATAAACATATTACACCATGCTCTCTTTATTTTTGTTCATAGCTTTTAAAAGTGAGTGTGGCTGTGGACAGATGGGGAGTTGATATAGTGGCCTGGAGAGTGGAGCGATGAGATAGAAAATGAGGGGGAGGCCTCTGTTTTCACTTCATTTGCTTTTTGAAGTCTAAGATTTTTCCCAACAGAAAATAAGGCAATTCCTCACATGGAGATGATAGGCAAATTAATAGTTAGTGTTCATAAAATGGTCTTAAGATGCAACTTGCCTAATGAAAGTATCAACATGTTGATTATTTTTATGGCTTCTTAGTAAGAAAAGGAATCTGTTACAATTTTCATGAGACTTTTGTTCCCACTAACATGTTCTTTCCATTCTGTTCCCCCCCAAACTACCTAGAGGTGTTTTTGTACTTGTCACTTATGCCTTAACAAAAATCTGCCTTCAGATTGTTGTATAAAAAAGTTAGCATAGTACATTTACAAACTACCTCCTGGGGGGAGGGAGTGGTTTGCAAACATAGAAGGTGTGTGTTACTTGTATAAAAGTACTGTATTCTATAACAGCATGTTGAAAGTGTTCACAGATTCAAGCTAATCCCAAATGGCATTGTCTATAGTCTCCAAATTCAGAAACAAAAGTAGCTTTATGGTGTTTTGTTTTGTTTAAATCAGATTTGAAGAAATTGAAAATTTAAGAAACCAAGTTGAAATACGATTTGAGACTATGAGGGAGCCTCTTTTAAAAGATTTTGTTGTATTTTAGGAGGTTTTCTGAGTTGAGAAAAACTGTGAGGACTTTAGAAATGATACCCCTCAATATAAAATGACTTCTTGATTTACCAGTTTAGTCTATGCATTACGTATATATTTTTCCTAACCCTTGACTGTCATAGGTACTTAGAGAGGCCATTTCTTCTCCTTGGCAATACATTTGGCTCGCAGAGTGGAGACGAGCCAACAATATAATTAATACTTAGTTCAGACCCTTACCCCCTGGAACTGCAAAGCTTCCTTGAAAAGGCACAGTGTTCTGTTTTGAATGGCAATTTTCTCCACCCATTTCAAACCACTGACAAGAAGGTGGCTTTTGTGTGCTCCAAAGATGTCTGTAGTTTTGCTCTGCTTCTCAGAGTGTCTGGGAAAAGATTTTGATTCTTTTTGTCTCTTTTTTATTACCTTTTAAAAGCTTCTTATATATATATATAATATATTTTTTAAAGATACAATCATACTTTCAGTTATTTAATGTAAAAGTCACACATAGTATATTCAGGGAAATCCACACATGCTTATACTCTGAAAAAAAATTAAATTTATAATCAAATTAAATCTGTGGGCCTAGACTTTAAGGATCATATTTTCTTTGAATTTGGCGTTGTAGTGCTGGGGAGTGCTGGTGGCCTAGTGTGTAAGGAGTTGCACTGCCAACCCAAAGACAGGCAGTTTGAATCTACTACCTACGCCTTGGGAGAGAGATGGACAGTCTTTTCCCCTGGAATGTGCTGTCGCTGAAAACCCCCTGGAGTTGATTCCAACTTAATGGAAACAAGTTGTTGTCATATTATAGAATATTACTGAGATTGAATGAATGAAGGCATTGAAAATGTTTAGTGGCTTACTTGGTACACAGAAAAATCAGCAGGTCGTGTTTGAGCTCTTCTTTACGTTTCTATTTCGACACTGACCAGACAATGTCTATATATGTCTGAGAGCATTTTGTCCCCATTAACAAACGAAATATTTCATCTAGCCCTTTTCCATCCGTCCTGCCCAGTCCCTCTATGCTTCATTTGCATGAGAGAAGCCTTGAGAGTACAAAAGGCTACTAACCAAAAGATTGAGTCTCTCAACTTTTCTCGCTGTTCCATCTAGAAATCCCCCTGTGTTCTTTTTTCATAGAGACTAGAGCCAAGGAGACCTGGTAGGACAGTTCTGCTCTGTCAAACGAAGGCTTTCATTATAAGGCAGTTCTACTTGGTCTCATGGAGTTAGTATGGGTCAAAAGTCAACTGGGTGGCACGTTGGAACAATGTGCTTGGCCTCACGACAAAGTCTTCATCAGTCAACAATGGAAAAGCCACTGTCACAGGCCCTGATTCCCTTTCTTTCTGAACACACACGTGCCTGGGACAGATTGGTTTTACTATTTGTTTCTTATCTTAAAAGTTAGTGGCTAAAGGCTGTGGGGGGTTTTGGTTTTGGTTTGTGTTGTATTCCTCCCCTGCCCCCACCCGGTTACTTCAGAATGATAATCTAGAATTTCCAGGAAACTTAGAGAGAGATCAGCTCTTCCAGTACCTCACGTTAGAGATGAGAAGTCTAAGATCTAGAGAAGGTTGGATGTGCCAAATGCCGTGATAGGACTGACAACCTCCAGATCCTATTCTGATGTTCTTGCTGTCCTCCCAGTCCTGTCCAGAAAGGATAATCATCTCCGTGTCTTCCCAAGAAAGGGACAGTGGCTCCTCCATAATGGTTGTTTTGGCAGGAGTATCTTCTATCTTCCTATCATGCTTGGAAAAGTGGAGGATCAGAGAAGGAGAGGGAGACCTTTGATTAGATGGGTTGACACAGTGACGTAAGTAAAGTGGAGGTTGTGAGGATAGTATAGGATCAGGCTAGGTTTCTGTTTTCTTGTACAGGGTTTATGTTTTCTGTGAATCGGAACCAACTCTATAGCGTCTAACAACAATAATTTTATATCTTCAGTTGTTATTGTTGTGCGCCCTCAAGTTAGAATCATCTCACAGCTGACCCTCCAGTGGGTTTTCAAAACCTGTAAATCATGCTGGAGGAGATTACCCATCTTTCTCTGGAGGAACAGCTGGTGGATTTGAACCATGTGCCTTTGGGTTGGCAGTACAAACTCCTTACCCACTAGGCCACCAGAGCTCATATCATTATTTATAGTCACACAAAAGCCTTTAACAAATATTTTATGAAGAGTTATCTTTATAGATGAATCTGATGCCAAGGGACCAAAGTTAACATTTTTGCCAAGGCCTTTTATGAGTCAGGTCTGTTGTGTTAGTGTCTCTTGCAATATTCACAACCATCTTATGTGATAACGGCAATGATTCTCTTAACTTTAACGAGATGTGGAAAGTTCAAGGGACTTATTAAAACCCTGTAACAAGCATATATTGAAGTCATGATTAAACTGAGAAATTTTGGCCTCTGAGATGAGTCCATTATTCATTATCCTCTCTGGCCAAACACTGTACTCGCTATGGATTTAGAAGTTAGCACTCAAGTTTCCATTTTTCTATAGACACAAAGTGGATTCATGGCAGCAAAGTCTGTGCTGAGTTGTGCTGAGAATCCAAAAGCTGCACTTGTCCAGCAGGGTAGAGATGAGTACTCTCCTCTCATTACAGTTTACAACTTCAGAAGCTCAATGGAGGGTGGTTGCTATGATTCAGAACTTGCTCTGTGAATGAGTGAATGAGAGTGAATGAAGGAAAAGGTCACAGCATTTACACTTGGTACATTAGGAAAGGATTCAAAGAGTGTCAAGAAGCTGTGCTGCAATCCCAAAGGTATGCTGTTCGAGGCTACCAGCTGCTCTATAGAAGAAGGATGGGCAATCTCCTCTCTAGGATACACAACAAGTATGCTGTTCTGACATAGGGGATTTCTGACTGAAAAATTAAATACCATAAGCAATTAACCTGACTTTTCTATACCTATTATAGTTGTGTTGTTTTTGTTGAGTGCTTTCGAGTCAGAACCAGGCTATATATAGCTGGCCCTCCAACAGGTTATAGAGACAGTAAATTACACGGGAAGAGATTTCCCATCCTTCCCCTAAGTAGCAGCTGGTGGATTCAAACTGTGTGCCTTTGGGATTACAGTGTAGGGACACCTTTATTTAGTAGGATCTGAATATATTTCAATTAGGACTAATTACAAATATTATTTTTCTGGCCAGTGCAGTAGTTCTGAATAGAGTAGGTGTGAAGAATGACACGTTTCCTATAAGTCAGAGATGAGTTGTCCAGGATGATTGGCAGTGATGGTGGCAGTGATGCTGGCACTGATGGTATTGATGACGGCAGCTGTGGTATCTGTGGTGTTGGTGTTGGTGGCATGCAGGTTGTGGTGGCGGTAGGAGAGGAGAGTATGCTTGTTTTGAGCTCTTGCTAACTCTAGCCATCTACAATGGTCCTGAAAATGTGTCTTTCTCTTCTCTCTTGTTTTAGTTCTGCAAGACTTAAAGGCTGTATAACTTAACAACCTCTAGCAACAGTTTTTACTAACCGCAAAGGAACTAGACTATTAGTCTGACTCTTCATGAAATACCTTGAAGGCCTATTTTTGGTTGGAGGGGTTGTGGATGTGAGACAGAAAAAAGCCTTGTATTCTTAGTTAAGAAAGGATACGTGAAGTTCTTCAGAAACGAAGGTACCACTCAGCTGTGCAGCATCTTTATGTCCCTCAGTGTCGCATAGGGTGATGCCATGCCAACCCAGCACTCTTAAAGTTAGTGCCAGGCTTAGAGTAATTATATTTCAACAGAGGAATGAGTCTTAAACAAAAGTCCTAGTAGATGAAGATTGTGGCCCTGTATAGTCAGTCTCATAATTATATGATAGATTTTTAGCAATTTGGAAAAGAATTTTAAGATCACCTTCCCTAACCTCTTTTTTTTAATTGGAAAAACCTTAAAGTTTCAAGTTAAAGAATTTTCCTAAAGTCTATAGGTAATTAGAAACTGTGCTATTACTAATTCATTTAATTAGGAAGAAAAGCTTCTTAGCACTTCCTATGTATTAGACACTGCGTTAATCTCTTTCGTGTCTCCAGCAGAGCTGTGCAATGTGTTTTACTTTTGTACTGATGAGTAAATGAATGCGTACAGGGGTCAAGAAGCCTAGACTCTCACAACCAGCAAACGGCAGATGGAGGATTAAATACTGAGTAGTCTATGGTCAAGCTCGTGATCTCACCCACGGAAGCACCGCAGTTCTGAACCCAGAGTCCTGCCTGCCACCTCCTTCTGCCTGCAGGGACGGCTGTGCTCAGCACGGTGGGCCCCTCATTTCGACTCCAAATCAGAATTTCCAGTCTTGTCCCTGTGGCAGATGTTGAGCTATGTAATGTGCTGCAAATGGAAATGGCAGCCTAAATGCTAAAGGGGGCCTTTTGCTGAGAACCAAGTGAAAAACAAATTGTGGGAACCCGTGTGCGCCGGGCCCGCGTGCCAGAGCAAGCCCTCCTCTGCTGGGGTTGGGGGAGACCCGGTTTAACAGTCTGCTCTGCTTGGTTTGGCCCCACAGAGTCATCCCTCACGAGCGGAGAATATTAACCATCCTACAGTGGCTCACCCTGCCTGACAACGAGAGGTACTTGCGTCCTCCCCTCTCTGCCCCCCACCCCGCTGCTTTCTGTAACTTTCCATCTTAGGGTCGAATCGGGTGTGCAGCTAGATGGACTGGGAAATAAAGCGGCAGCCAAGGTGTGGTATTATTAAATGTTTTATGGTTCTTAGCCTTAGGCTTTATTTCCCTAAGATGGATACAGTGAGCTTTGGTTATTGGAGCTGCTTTAATTACTTCAATTACTGCAACTATTAATCGTTGTCATGTCACCATGGATCAAAGTTGAAGGGAAGTGAACCCAGTGAACTTTTGTGAAGTGAACCAAGGATTAGGGAAACTTAAGACTGACTTTTTACCTTGGGGGTGGGGGTCATCCTTTCAGGCTGGGGGTTGAATGTCGCAGGTGCACTTGGCCTGTCTCTTTTACCCTGAAGATGAAAGACCTGAATACACCCAGATATTTTCCTTTGTGATTTTTTAAAATTCTTAAGTAGTGACAAGTGACATTTGATAAATGTCAATAGTTCTAGAAAGGCTTCAGGCCTTTTATTCACAGAGTCGCTAGGAGTTGAGCTCAACTGGACGGTAATCAACAACAACAACAACGATAAGTCCTTAGCAGAGTAGTCAGAGAAAAAGAGGGTGATTATAGAGAAAACACAGGAATAAAAGAGAGACAGGCAGAAGAGTTTTCCACTGAATGAAAACCATGGTTGGGCGGTGATCTTTGAAAAGTTGTTCAGGGGTAGTTGGCTTTCTTTGTCGTACATGATTCAGGAGACATGTGAACTCTGACTTTCTCACAGGCCCTCGGTCTATGCCTTCTATTCGGAACAGCCGGATATCGCTGGACACAAATATGGACCCTTTGGCTCTGAGGTTAGTAGCTTGTCATCTGCTTGAGGAAAAACCACGTTCTGAGGCTGCCTGACTGACCCACTGACCTTTTCAGGATTCGTACAGCATTTCTGCGCTTACGTGTATCTACAAGGTTTGGCTAAGAAGATGTGTAAAAGTCCCAGACATGCCCATGTCACTTATAGGAACTTGATTTCCAATTGATTTGATATTTGGACACATCCTCAATTTGGTGTTTATGGCAAATGATCTCATGACTGAGTCATGAGGTGCAAAGGCATTTTTCATCCTAGGTCAGGACCAAGGAGTTTGGAGAAAGAACATGTGGCACAAAGCATTGCAAGTTGATTTCAGCTCCCTTAACATGACATCGCTCCTAAGCGATCTTAAAAGCAAAAAGAAAATAAAACAGAAAAAATATGCCCGCTGCCAGTTCTGACTCATAATGACCCTCCATTGGGTTTCCAAGTCCATAAATTTTAATAGGAAGATACTGCCTCTCTTTCTCTGTGGCTGCTAACTCCATCACAGAAGCAGACTCCTTAGATAGTCTTAGCAAGTATAACCAAATTATGTGTTAAAGCAGTGGGCACATTTGTTAATACATTGGACATATTTCTACATCTGTGAAACTACAGCCACAATTAAGAGTATGAACATATTCATCAACCCCCACAGAGAAGCTAATTCTTAATTGAGAGAGATACACTGTTCAAGAAATCTATTTTAAATAGTATGAATCTTAGTGGAATCTTAGTGGAAGCCAACCTGTTTATAAGGTAATATCCAGAGTAAATTCATACTGAGAAAGTTAGAAAGAATAAGACAGAATGAGAGAGAGAGAGATAAGACAGAGAGAATGTTTTGACAGTCCTTTTCTACTGTAGAGATGGAAACCTTTCTGGAGTTTCTTAATCCTTTATACATATGTTGGCCTTACAAATATAAACTTTTGAGTATTTTAAAGTGTTTTTCACCTCTCTTTCTTAATAGGTGATGACAGTTACTTCTGCATAATAAATCTTGACTTGGGATGAGAAATAATTTTAAAATATTTTGGTTGATGGAAGCTCTGATTCTCTAATGGTCTGTGACAACCTGTTGACCCTTCTTATGTTCACTGTGTTTGACCCAAGAGTGAGTTAGAGATACAGATAAATGCATCTCATTTAGATATAATTGAGCAGGATGTAGGATATCTTAACAAAGGTTATAAATGCCAAGGAGTCGTAAGTATTTCTGAAAGCTTAAACATGGTAGAAAAGCAACAAGTTCCATGGTGAGTTTTTTAAACACTAGAAAGTAATGACTACATGAAATGGTTCTTAGCTGGTCTGAAGTCATTGAAATAATTTAACACTAATGCTATCTCTTTGAAGTTTAACTAGCGCTGCCGTGATTGTGAAACGCAAATGATAAAATGAGATAATGATCTGCATCCATGAAACATAAATCTTCCTTTGTCAGGAAAGAAAACCAGAGAGAGAAGGAAAAGCTGTGTTATCTTTTTTAGCATGACTTTCTTTGAGATTAATCTAACATGAACAAAAGAACCACATTTTATGAAAATGTTGAAAGTTTAAAACAAAATAAAACGTCTAAACAGACCCATGTGCAATGTTTAAAGTTTCAAATTTGCTTGCGTAGGAAGCTTTCTTAGAAGGCCTGCTGTAGTAGGCAACATGGAGATTTTCCCCTCCCATTCATGCCATCATGTTTACTGTATTTTTTTAAAAAGTTATTACTATTATTATTGTTGTTATACTAGTTTATTTACAAAATTCGAAAACATTGTTTCCCAGAGCAGATTCTTCCAATTTTCCTCACTCCAAACATGGAGATTTTTATAGTTTTTTTTTTTAAAGTCTTAAATGACCTTTTTAAGTACTGGTAAGTAGGGAATTCACACTTTCAGTCTCCTACATTAGAATACTTCCCAAAGATTCATTTTCTCTTTCTTCAAACCAGGTAAAAAACAGAATGATTAGTAAATGCACGTGTCCAAGTTATTTGTATACATTCTCTTTATGTTCTATATTTGACTTTTAATAACACAGAGATTATATTACTTTTGATTCTCATTTCCATAAAAGTCATATGCCTGCATAACATAGCTTTCTCCAGGCACTATCTTTGCATTTCAAATATGTGACCTATTTGGAAGTGCCTCTGTGTTATGCGTAAAGATGAGGAGAGGACTTAACTGTTGTTTCTTTACTACTGAGCATCAGAGACCTAAAATGGGATGTTAGATCCTTTAATCTGCATTAGTGATGGTTCTATGCCCAGAGTTGTTAATAATTTTAGAAACAGGGGTTTCCCCCATACAGTTCTAATGAAAAATTGGAAATGTTCATGCAGTGTTCTTTTCAATGGACTTATTACAGCAAATGTCTTCTTCAGCATTCATTGGGTATGATACTCTTGATCAGGGCTCTTCAGTGATGGTAACCTAATCCCTTTCTCTTATGTTCTTCATAAGATAAGGAATATTTTCACATGTCAACTGTTTCCTATTTCTCATTGGATTCTAGGAATCCTGTTTTATCAGAAGAACATAAAAATGGTTTACCTTTTTATTTGCATTTGATTTAAAACCCAAAACTAAAACAAGTCAACAAAATCCGTCTTCTGTCATAGATGAGTTTACATATATATATATATATATATATATAATAAATTTGTTGCATATATAGGTTATGCAAGCTGAAAGGTTATTTTTAAAATAAAAATATAGTGCCTTTTACATAAAACAAGCATATTATGTTTAATTTTTAATCAAAATGATTCTGTTTAGCAAGATGCTTGCTGTCTGTTCCAGTGAGAAGAATCTTGATGTTGCCTTTACTGTTTTATTCATTTAATATCTGAGTGCAGTTCCCCACCCCCACCCCAAGACTCTTCTCAAAGGAGATGACCAAACTTTGAACCAATGGCTTCGAGGAATGATTCCTTGCTCCTGGTTTCTTAGTGTAATGGTGAATGTTCTGAAATGGCCTTGCTTTGTTATGGGCATCATTTTCTTCTTGACCTTCTATGCTTTCTCTGTGACCCTTGGATCGGCTGCTTCTCCAGGCCTCGAGGCAGAGCTTTGGCTGGCTAGTTCCTACCTTCAAATGGCAAAGTATCCTCCTGAAAAGCAGGGGCATTTGCCCCTCTATCTCCTCATCCTCTTAATAGCTTCAGGCTAAATCTTCCCAAGTCAGACTAAAGTATGGCTGGTCAATGAGAGCTTAGCTTTCGTCCTCCGCTAACATTCAGAGGAAGAAATGGATGCATTATAATCGTTGAATGAAAACCATCTTGCTAAACCCAATCTCCCCCGGCTGCTCCTCTAACCTGCTGCCCTTGGAAAGACTCGCCTTTGAAGTCTTGGGAATGTTGAGGTCTTTTGCAAATGGCCTGGTGTCTGCTGGGCCCATTTGAGTGCTAGTGGAATGTATTTGATGACCATGACATGGAATACCACCCTCCTGTTTTCTTTGCTGCTCTCCTCATGGAGATTTGCCTGAAACTGGAAGCATTAAAACCAAACAAAAGCAACCCCAGAGTCTGTGGGCTGTGTCTTTTAATTGCTCCACCGGAAAGAGAGGATGGGACGGAAACGGAAGTGCCTTTGCAGTGGCTTTGCCTTGGAACAGTGAGTGCATGGCAGTTGTCCTCCTTGGGTACACTAACATTGTTACTCCTTGCTCCCTGCATCTCCATGACTTTCTGGCCCCGTCAGGAGAAGTCAGCCAGGCAGATAGCAGAGCTTGCAGCTTTAATTCACCTTTGCACGAGCAGCAAATCAGGGGCCTGTTGTTCTCCTGCATTTAGAAGTCCCAAATGTTACCTCCCCTGACTCAGTTTTTGTGTCACTCATGACTGCCTCCTAGAATAATAATAATTTTTAAAAGCCCCAAATGACCAATTTGCCTCAAAATGGGACTTCTGATGGAATAGAAGTTGACTCTTGACATGTATGCCAAATTTGAAGATACCTTGATGACGTGATCTGATCTTGTACCTAATTTAAAAAGAATTTTTCAGAAGACATTCTCACTTGTGGCTATGCCTTACTGTTGACTTTCTCTATGCTGGAGACCTAAATGGCCAGTGAGACGTTCTCCCCTGAATGTCCTCATTTGTGAGAACATTTGTGATTCAGGACGATTGCTTAAATTTCACTTTATCTTTGACTTGTGTTATCCTGTTACCTAAAAACCATAGTGACAGTTGTTTTATATATATACACAGTTTTTATATACTGTTGATATATTTGGTGGTGTGAATAGATTCTTGTTGGATTCTGAATTGGAACCTCACATGTAAACTTCATTATCACCTGGAAATGAATGAAGAGCTGGTCTCCTGGTTCATGTCTAGCCTCTAAAATGTAGAACACTCTTATATAAGGACCAGTCTCTTGATGCAGGAGTCACTTCTCCATGCCACCTTCCAACATGCCCCTTTCAAAAGGCTCCTTACCAACAAGAGACTACGTTCTCAGTAACAATGTTGTTCTCAGTGAAGAAGCTGAGAATATTAAGATTGACTTAAGAGCCTTCTCCCTATAACATTCTCTAAACTGCCCCTTGTACCAACTCTTTCCTCACTTAAGGAGCCTTAGTTTCTCCAACTAAGACTCTGTCGATCCAACTGGCATAGTGTGATCTTTATGATCTGACCCAGAAGGCCAGATGACTTCTGAGTCCAGACATCTCTATTCGCCAGTACAGGAGAGTAGTTATGGTTCATCTCTTACTTCGGCTAAGAGACCTAAGAGGAAGGTTACCCCTAAGAGGAGACAGGAAAGACCAGTTACTCCTCCAAAGAAAAGAAGACGGAAATTACATAGGATGGATCAGTATGCTGCCGAAACTCGTCAGGACAAAGTAAGTCGATCTATTGTTCCAAAGCTTTGTGGCGGGCAGACCTGAGTTGATGGTTTCCTTCAGCCCTTGGTTTGAAAATGCACTGAAAAAAATCTATAGAAAAAAATCTGGTGCAGCATCCTTGACTTCGAGTCCGGAAGAATCTGGCACTTCAGAGGTTAACATTAATGTGACAACTTCCTGAACTTTCAACAAGACATAAAAAAAAGCAGGGGGCCTTTTATTCTGCCTAGAATTACTTGTCTTAAAGGGAGTTCTGGTGACATAATTGCAGCAAGTTTTACCATTAACCCAAAACTGTGTGTCTCGGGCTGTTCAAATTCACAAGTCACTCTGCAGGAGGGTGACAGGCAATGTCCTCCCAGTGCCACTTACAGGCTGGGAAATCTTGTGGAGAGTTGCTGTGAATTAGTATTGACTTGACAGCAACGAGTTTGTGATTTGTTTTGTGGTTTTAAAACAATAGATATTTACTATCTCATGTTTAGGTGTTTTGGATGCCTTTATTCACAGAATTGGCCCAGAAAATTTGTTCCCTGGGTCTCTTTGCTAACCAGCAAGATTGTTGTTGTTGTAGTCGAGAAAATCTTTAAACGCACTCTAGAGCAGAATTTTACTGAAGATTTAGGTCTGTCCCTTCAGAGGTCACACTAATGATTAGATTGTAGATAAAAAGGTAGAAGAGACAACAGGGAAAAGAAAATGGTTAGAATATATTGTGGTTTTTTTCTTCTCATAGTGATAGAAATTCTTTCTTGTACATTCTGAATAACGAGTATGTTGTTACTTTCGCTGAGACCTCCAAATGGTTCTGAAGCAGTATCTTATTTCCGATTATCTGAGCTGATGACAAAGAGCAGATACTGAATCTTATCCGAGGGTCCCACTGCTGAGTATATAAAGGGAAGCCCTCGCGGGGGTCAACAGGTGCACCTTGGGCCTTCTTTACCTGCTAATGATCTTAGAGGAGAATAGGGTTTTCGTCAACTAAGTAAATGTCACTTAATCCTGCATCTTTTAGTCCATTCACATTATACTGCACAGATTGTCCTAAAACCTTTCTATTGTGATTTCCTAATTGAGGCAGGATTTAAAAGATTGACTTGTCTCTGAGAAAAAGTGTGAAGTTTTATGAGGAAAGGTCTTGATGCATCTGAGAAGACGTAAATGGAACAGACTGTGTGATGTGACTGAGTGAAAAGGAAGTGAGATCCTGACTCTTACCTCTGTCCCCTTGGCGTATGGGCCTGTTTATAGCAAGGCTGTGGAAGCTCATCTCAAGTACTGTCAAGTGGTTACGTGTCTGATGAGATCTTTCCTGAGAATCTTTCCGTTGCGTGGTTCAAGATGAGAACAGGGTGAATCCCTTAGAAGTGAGAGTGGGGGAGTATGCATGTCGTTATAAACGTCCATGTGAAGGAAGAAAATGAGAGGTGGATTCCGTACATTGTAAGACTTTCGAAATGTTTTTCAGAGGAGAATGACAATTTCCTTCTACATTATTCTAACTCAGAAGCCTTTCAGAAAAAGCTCGATGGTTCACTTCATTGAACTTGGGACTCTTGTAGACACCTTTTTACTCAAAATCTCCTTTGAACTAATTTGAGAAGCAATGATTTTTATTTTCCTCTTTCAGGTTAAGTTATTAAGATAAGGACCCACTGCTGTTAGAGAGGTGGGGGAGTTCTTTGGAGTCTTGTTTGGATGGTATTGTGTTAGTGAGAACCAAATTCAGCTTCTTGGGAAAGCTTTCCATTTCACCCTCACACCGACTTTTGATTTATGTAGCTTCACTCCTCTTGCCATGGTGCAAATCCTTGGGGAATTTCACCTAGGAGGCAAGAGGCTCACACCATCAGATTTTCTGTTACTCTCCAAAGTCTTTTATTTCAAGAACATTGTTATCGTTGTCCATGTCTTTTCTCTGAAAAAAAAAAAAAAGAATGTTTCTTAGTAATCTTTGTTTTCAATTGTTATACACAACCATCTTTAAGGAGAGTGGATGAGGAGATATTTCAATTTCCCCAAAAGAAGATAAAGCCTTTATTTAGCCCATATTTCTGCTCAGAATAGCAGGCAAAACTCCTTAGACAAAGCTCTGCCTCCAGACCTGCATTTCCCTGTTCCCCAAATATTCTAGGGGTGGAAGTCCTATGAGAACCTGAGAAGGAAAAAGAAAGCTCTAGAGACTAACTTGTTCCTTTTTCCAGATGACAAATCCACTGAGGGAAATTGACAAGACCGTGGGGCAATTAATGGATGGACTGAAACAATTGAATCTGCACCGCTGTGTTAATGTCATCTTTGTTGGAGATCATGGTAAAGCTTTGCTTTTCTTTGTCTGGTAGAGCAGATCTATCCATAACATTCCAGGTGAGATTAGGGGAAGGCATCTTAGCTCTCAGCACTCCAGGCTCTGTTCTTTATATCCTTATTCCATTTTTTCAAGGGTGGAAAAAGAAATCTGCAGACCATGACTCAAAAGCATGCCCTGAGAGGATCTAGGGTTCATTTTTATCTAAGTAGGAATTTCCTGCATCTTCATAGTCTTTCCAGGAAAGTGGTTGGTACGAAAATAGGTCTCTAGCTAAATTATCTGATGATGACCGCTTTCCTTATGAATGTGATGTTTCAGGTGATAAGGTGACATCTCTGCCAGACATATCTCCAAAGATGTGACTAAAAATTAACTACAATATGATAAAGAGGCAGACACAAGAGATTCTTGTCCAAGAAATAATATACGAATAAAATAGATTGCTTCCTTCCCCTGAAGGAACCACAGAACTCTGTTGTGGTAAAGAAACAGTTGTTTTGATTCTGAGTCATCATTTTTCTATGTTAATTTCTCAGTAGAAAAAAATTCACAGCTCCTTTCCCAACATAATCATAAGCTCTGTAAACGGAATTACAAAACTGGAGCAGAGGTTCTTGTAGAACATCCTCATATCACAAGAATGGAGATTGAGCTCTAGATAAGGTCTCTTGCATTCTAGAACAATCCAATAGAAAAATATGGACCCAGAGGTGCTGGCTGCCACCTTCTACTGGAGGACCAAGGAATAGGAAAAGGGTTCACTCTTTGGCTGTAAACTGGAAGTTATGTTAAGAATGATGGACAAATCTCCCTAGACTGAGCTTTGTTCTCAGACCTTAAAGTGCCCCCCCCCCCAGAGTATTCTAGGTGTTGATCTAGAAGAAACTAAAGCATTCTTCTAGAAAGCTGTAGGTTTAAACTTGACCCAACTTACTCCTCTGTGGGGATGGAATGTTTACATTCTTCAGAGCCAGATACATGAGTTTGACTTAAACAGGTGCAGACAGGACAGTGACTTTGGAGCATGTGACACATCTGATTCTATTGATTCTATCTGATTCTATTGAAGTTGCCCAAAGATAGGGAGAACATCTGGTTACATGTGAGGGCCCAATGCTTAAAAAGTAGATGGGTCCCAAGGAGTCATATGATAGACTACTTTGGAGGCCATCAATTAAAACCCTGTTGTACCAGTGTGCAGGCTTCTGAGATGAGTGCATCTTTTGGTTTTGGCGAGGTCACATCATATAAAACACAAGATATGAATGATTATAAAAGCAAAATGTATATGAACAAAACAGCATAAAGGAATTATTGTAAAAAGCACAAGGTACATGAATGAAACGCAATATATATAAATGACTATATGAAGACCATTTACGATAAAGGTATTTCAGATTGTGAGCAAAGGAGTTTTGATTGTACCTGCCTCTTAAGAGTCATGTCGCACTGTTTATTATATTTCTTTTTCTATCAAAGGGTTTGGAAATTTAAAGGCAGAATACATAGCCTTTGTGCTATGCTGGGGGCTGTTTGCCTCTTTCCTTCTCTTCATTTCAGTTGACTTTGGAGAAACAAAGATGTGTGTGTCTAATGTGGCATCCCAGAAAGTGAGGATTTTAGTTTTCCCAGAATTGGCTTACCTTGTGTTTATTCCCAAACCTTGAGATAGTCCTTTCTAAACATACTCCTTTTTAGAAACATTTATCTCTCTCCTCTTTAAGTATATCTGTGCCGTTAGATTTTGCAGAGTGATATTTTAAATCTTCATGTTGTTGTTAGCAGTCAAGTTGATTCCAACTTGTGTGCTGAGAAGAATTGAGTACTGTAGGATTATCAGGGCTTTGACTGTGTATAGGTAGATTTCCAGGTAGATGTCTTCCGAGATGCCTTCTGGGTGCGTCAAAACTACCAACCTTTCTGCTAGTTGTTGTTAATCTGCTTGAGTTAGATAATGACTCACAGCAACCCTTTGAACAATAGCTCTGAGCCTTGCCTTTTCCTAACCAACTTCACCCTCTCAGACACACTGACCCCATTGCCACAGTCACTGTGTCAATCCATCTCATCCAGGGTCTTCCTCTTCTGCTTGTAGTCAAGTGTTTAACCATTTTTGGTCTTCTAAGGACTCCTTTTCATAGATCCATGCAAACTTAACATATTTAAAAAATGACAGGAAAGACCTTGATCAGCTTCCATTTCTATGATTCTAAGATCTGAAGGTTTTCCTTTTGTTTTTAAACTCCCACAAAGCAGTCTTCCTTTGAGGAGGTGAAAAACAGATATGGCAGAGAGAAGACATATTTGTTCAAATACTAGCAAAATTCCTTGGTGGCACACTGGTTAAAACACTTGGCTGCTGACCGGCAAGCCAGAAATTTGAACCCACCTGTTCCCCCTCAAAAGAAAGATGAGATATTGTGCTTCTATAAAGATCCCTGTCCTTGGAAACCTTACTGGGTAGTTGTACTCTAGACGATAAGGTTTCTATGAGTTGAAATTGACTAGACAGCTGTGGATGGACCTTTTTATGGGTCCTCGTTGGCAGCTTTGTGTTCTGACTAATTGCATAGTTCACAAATGGTTTTCAGGGTTATTTTGGTTTTGCATTTGGATAGCCATTGGTGTTTTTTCTTTCTCATCTCATTGCCCATATTGTTTCCTCAGTAACTTCCAAGGCCACCAGTGGAGACAGAGCAAGAACTAGTGATTATTTGGTCTGCAAAGGGAAGATATTAGAGAAAGAGCTGAAAAATGACATTTTATAAAAGAGACGGGACTGTGTATTTCAGCTATCTGCACCATCCTCAGCTAGGAAGAGTTTAACACAGTATTAGATTATCTTTTGTAAAAAATAAATCTTTTTCATAATGACATTGCAAAGGAGTTTACGTTTATTTTTTGCTTTCTAAGCATGGTTACTTCCTTTGTTTGAGTCATTCTTGTTGGATGACTGAGACTTAATTGAGAAGCTGCATCCTCCGTCTCCGGATGCTTGCCCAACAGCATGGCGACATCACATCCCATGTTCTGTTGAGAATCCTTAGAAAGTTTAAAGTTCAAGGGATCTCGTAAAAGAAGGCATCTCCCGTGAAGTTGTGAAAAATGAACTGAAAAACCTCTTTACTCATTAGTGCCTGTAACAAGATTTTAACGTTAAGTATTTTCTATTTATTTGCTTGCTTATTTATTGTGGTTTTTTTTTTTGTTTGTTTGTTTTGTTTTTTGTTTTTACCTCTGTAGGAATGGAAGATGTCACGTGTGATAGAACTGAATTTTTGAGCAATTACCTGACTAACGTGGATGACGTTGTTTTAGTGCCAGGCTCTCTAGGAAGAATCCGATCCAAGTTTAGCAATAATGCAAAATGTAAGTTGATTTGTAAAACACTGGGTTATGAGAGTGCTAACATAGATTTGGTAAGAGCTTAGTCTCTGAAATGGTACTAACCCCTGGTGGTGTAAGCTACGTGGGTTTTGCCGCTAATCCAAAGCTTGTGCCTTTGGGTGCTTCAACTCCAGCAGCTCCATGAAGGTAAAAGGAGCACTCTCCTCTCCTGTGATTTACAACCTTGAAAACCCCCCAGAGGCACAGCTAGGAGCTGGTTCCAGCTCAGTGGCAGTTGGGAGGAGGAGGAGTGATAACTCTCACTGAGTTGATTCTGACTCTGGTGGCCATCCACCTGGAAGGTCACAGGGTTTCTGGAGGAGCCAATCATCTTCTCTCCTAGACTGACTGGGGGACTCCACCTCTCAACGATTTGGCCAATACCTCAACATGAATGCTTGGGTATAAAGCCGGTCTCGGCCTCCACGACCTTTTTTGATAAGTGGTTTTACGTCATTTCTGCTTTCTGTGCCTCAGTTCTCATCCACCCTCCAGCTCACAAGTGAGCATGATTTTGGCAGTAGCCGCCTTGTAGGATTTCTGGGAAAACGGATCTATAAATGTCACTAAGAATGGTTCATGGCTTATAGTTGTTGTTGTTGGCCTTTAATAATAGTAAAATAAATGTTTATTCTTGTTTTTGTCATGTTGAAGTGTACTTAATTAGAAGCATGTTTATGATGTAAGCTTCTGTTTCCAAGGTAGGAACTTTTCCATCAGAGGGAACCCACTCTTGCCCACTGGCTGCCCACGATGGTTTAGCAGAACCTTTCTTGGAGCCTGAAAGTTCCTCGGGCGTTTCTTCGAGGGGTCCCTTTCTTTTTTAAAAAATTAATTTCAATGAACATTTACAGAGATTTTGGATTTCCATTCATTCATTGCTGCATTTTTCTCCCAGCCTCCCCCACTCCCCCCAGTTCTCTTTTGAAGCCCTGAGAAGTGTTTGGAAAGACTAGACATCAATTATTCAGGAGTGATCTTGTCACTTCTTTTACATATTTAGTTTACAATAGGGCCCCTGCACTTTATTTTGTAAATGACAGTGTTTTGTGCACTGCCAGCCAGCTTTGGAGAACCTCAGAGTTTTTTCTTGGAGAAATACTTCACCTTGGGGGAAAAAACCCTAAAAACCAATAGAACTGCAACAACAACATCCTTTAGTATTTTTGTGTTGTTTGACAAATAAGAAAACATTGCCATCAAGTTTAAATTTTTAGAAAATTAACTTTTCCCCAAATCAGGTCCCCAAGTTTGTGCAAGTGTTTCAAAAGCAGCTATAGACAACACTGTGAAATGGGGAAAAATGCAGTGTTTCTGACTCTTCTCCCTTCAATGTCCTCTCCTCCCTCACTTGTGAGAGGCAGGCACACACCACAGCAGTGGTCAGTAGCACACCTCTTGCTTTGAATATTTGCTGACCCAGTGTGTTGTTGTGTACCACAGAGTTAGAACTGACCCACAGCCGACCCTCCAGTGAGTTTTTTTTTCCCTTTTAATAATTTTAATGAACATTTACAGAGATTTTGGTTTTCCATTCATTCATCCAGTGAGTTTTGAGAGGCAGTTAAGTGCACAGGAGGACGTTGCCTATCCTTTCCCCACAGAGCTGCTAGTGGATTTGAACTGCATGCCTTCGAGATTGCAGTGCAGCTTCTTACCGCTAGGCCATCAGAGGTTTTATGCATTTTGAAAGGCATTTTTCAGACGTTGGTCAATGTATGGGGAAGTTAGTTTAGTGAGGGGGAAATGTCTTCCTTTGAAAGCATGACTATCAGTAATTAAATACTTTCTACTTTCAAAGTGCTTTCCAATGCGATCTCAGTTGAAAAGGCTGCAGAGTACGGTGGTTAAGTGGACAGGCGAGCGTGGTTCAAATTCCAGCCATGCTGCTTGCTGACTCTGTGACCTTCAGCAAGCTACTCAAGTTCTCTGGGCTGCGGTTTCCTCATCTATAAAATAGCATTGCAGGAAGAGAAATGAGAGAGTGTGTGTGTTTGTATGTATCATTGGGGTCAGAGCAGAACCCACTCATAGCAGGTTGCTTAGGGAGAGAGATTTCTCGACTTACTCTGCTGGAGCTGCTGGTGGATTTGAATTGCTGAGGTAACATGGTCTTAGAGCTAGCAGTCCAACCCCCAGCAGGCTCTCCTCCTAGGGATCCATGTATGCATAGGTTACATTAGTCGGTAGCACATAATGGAAGTTGTATAAAAGCTCTACTGTGAAGTTCTGGTTACTTTTTTTTTTCAGCTAGACATACATGCAGTCTCTTTTAAATCTTCCTACTAGCCCTAAGCCATAAGTATTAACCTCCTTTTATCGCCTTAGAGGGCGTTGATTTGGCTTGCTTAGAATATGACACGTACTGAGCAGCCCTGGTCTGTCCACTAGCTGTATAGAAGTAACTCATGGTTGTTGTGAAGCTGAACACTGTGACACTGATGTTGCCAAGAGTGAAACATTTTAGCTTTAGCTTTCATAATTTGGGATCTAAAGTTCAGAGAATAATCATTGGGTGTGTTTGTGTGTGTGTGTGTCCCCCAAAGCAGACTTGTGCCTGAATTTTTGGCAATTATGAACAAATACTTCTTAGCAAATGTGTTCCTTGAGTGCTCGCTGTGTGCTTCCTGAGAGGTAGCAGCAGTGGTACAGACCAGGCTGTCCCTCCGGCTCTGCGTTCCAGGGTCGGCCGCGTCATGACACTTGCCATCTCTCCTGAGTGCTGCCTGCCCTTTCTGCTGTTTCTGTAATGACATGCTGAAGCAAATGCTTTCAAAACAAAACACAATCCGGCCAACCTACAGTCTCTTTCTTTTCCTCCCTCGCAAAGGGGACCTTCAGATAATACGGCCCACAGTTTAAACACAGCCATCATTTACATAGTTTTCTTTTTAGTTAGTCCAGGGTATTGACAAAAATATCCCGTGTTTGGTGCTAGTGAAAAAGAAAGATTGTGCGCACATGTGTCAATGGCTGGAGAAGGCACAGCTAGTTACGTGATGACTCTTGCTGGCGGGGGGCTCTGGAGAGGATTTGGACTCATTGCAGCCCCATGTGGCAGGAGAGAACCACCCCTGACAGCTCTTTGTCTCTGGGGCGCTCTGGGAACGTGGTCTGTGGAAAGTTGTGCTGCTGATCAAGGTTTGGATCACCAGAAGCTCTGCAGGACACAAGCGAGTGATGTCCTCCCGTGGGATGTACCCCCTCAGAAAGCTCCTAGAGGGTCAGCTCTGAGTTGTTTCTGACTCTGTGACAATGGATTGGTTTGCTTTTGTTTGATTTTTTTTTTAAATAGCTTTCTAGGCTGTAATCTTTATGGAAGCAAATGACCAGGTCTGTCTTCTATAGGCCCACTGTGTAGTGGGTTTCAAGAGCCAACCTTTGATTGACAACTGAGTGCTTAATGATTGTCCCACCAGGAGTCTTAGCCTCCGTAATTGGACCCATGATACTCCAGTGGAAATATATATCATAAAACACACACATATACACACACATATCCAAAGGGAAAGGAAAGAAGGGGACAGGAAAAGGGGAAGGGGGAAAACCACTGTTTAACAGAGGCTAATGGGTAGAAGGGGATAAAACAGTGGCAGTTTGAAAAGACAGGGTGATAGTAGACATAGAGCAATGGTAATTAATTTTATAAAATATAATGTATATGAGTGATTGTATAAAA